AGACCACAAAATAAGGTCTGCTGATTTGGTTGTAAATCAGACTCACATTAAAGTAATGTCTAGTCAATTAAAGTTTTAAATATCATGGTAAAATATTTAATATCTATTCTATAATTTCAACAGGTTGTTGTAAGTATGGCAGATAACACTTTATCGTTTTATTCTTTGTCATAAGCAGTTGGCAAAGAAGTAAAACTAATTCGCAAGATTTTGTTACACGGCCATAGATCAAATGTTCAAGTCTAATCATTTAGTTCGGATAGTTTAGCTATGTTCACTGGAGGTTCAGAGTCTATAAAAATGTGAAGTAAGGAAAACTCTTAATTGTATTCGAACTGTTTAGACGTCTAGTGCTGTTCTGTGTTTATGGGTGCTCCCTGGAGACCGACACATTTTAGCTGGACTTGATGATGGTAAATTTTTGGTAATTGACATAGCCGCAGGAGATATAATTGAAAGCATTTCTGCTCATCAAAAAGATTTGAAGTCAATTTATATGTTATCAGATGAGGTAAAAAATTATATTTATTTTTGTTTTTAACATTCTAATACAATTTTTTTTTTAAAACAAACAAACAACAGTTGGGTTGTATAAAAGGTGGTGGTGATAGCACAGTTAAACTATGGCAATTAGAACTAGCAACATTGCCGAGTTCTGATAGAAAAGTGTTATCATTGTTTCACTTGAAGACATTAGAGTTAGATGAAAATGTACAGTGCGCAAGAGTAAGCCCAGATAACAAATTGCTAGCAGTTGCTCTTTTAGATAACACAGTCACAATATTTTTTATGGACACGTTTAAGGTGAGTTTTATTATTGTACTCTGAATATATAACGAAAAAACTTTTTATGACCGTAGAACAATGAAAATTATATATTATTTTTAGCACTTCATTGATCTTTATGGACACATATTACCAGTAAACGATATGGACATAAGTTATGATTCATCAATCATTATTACTGCAAGTGCTGATAAGACAATCAGAATTTGGGGCTTAGATTACGGAGATTGTCATAGGCGCTTAACAACAGAGTCTACATTGACCAGTATTAAATTTATTCCTATGACCCATCAATTTTTCACTATCGACAAGAATGGAAACATTAAACATTGGGACGCTGAGGTTTTTGAGAGAGTTTTAACACTTTAAGTAATTAATTATTATTGTTTTTGAAAATTACTATATGTTATATTGTATTTAATTTGGCTTAGGTTCACAGAGGTGAATGCGGTAATATGTCTGTGAGCGAAAATGGTTATTATGTTATGAGTTGTGGCCAAGACAATGTTATACGTTTATATGAAAAAACAGAAGAACCCCTTGTATTAGAAGATGAGCGGGAAGAAGAAAGGGCACAAGAAGATGATAAAGAACTAGCCACTGGCAAAGAAACCAATGTATATGGAGGGCCATCAGTTCTCGCATTGCCGACAAAAAATACCATTTCATCAGAGAAAGCTGTAATACAAATTCAATTTATTAATATTGTTCTTAAATGTTTTTAATTTTATTATTTTTTAGGCTGAATTATTGTTAGAATGTTTAAATGTGATCAAAGAATACAAAGATAACCTATTAAAAAGCGAAAATAAAGGTGGTGAAAAATCAACATTACCAATAATTATGACTGCTTTTAATGTTAAAACTACTGACGATTATTTATTGGAAATAATTAAAAGGATGCGCTCTAGGCAAGTTGAATTTACTAGAAAAATTTCATTTTATAATTCTTATTATTTGTATACTGAGTTATTAAAAATCAAACTAATATCATTTTCTTAATTTTTAGTGAGTTGGAAAGGGTTTTATTATTTATGCCTTTTTCAAGCATATGTTATTTTATGGAAGCGTCAATACCATTGTTAAATCATATGCATCATGGAATTGAGTCAGTTGTCCGGTCACTCATATTCTTTGTACAAACATTGCGCAAACCAATATCATCCGTCAGTGATATGACACCTATCCTAAGGCAATTAAATGTACTTGCTACTAAGAAAACAAATGAATTAAGGGTATGTAACAAATTTACTGTATTAAAATGAGTGAACAATATTTATTAATTTATTTATGTATTAAATAGGATTTAGTAGGAGAAAATTTTTATTCTTTGATGTTCATAAATAATAGCCAAGTATTGATATTCAACATAGCACAAAATATTCAAAAGAAAAGAAAACGCCAAAAGCATAAACTGTTAAAGCGTGTGATTGTTAATATCTAATAAAATATTTTCATGTTAATTATAGGTTAATTATACAATCTGATTTGTGTTCAATATTTAAATGAATATACATTGTTTTTAAAAAAATGCGTCGTCAATTAATTATACATTTTTGTTGTACCATAAGTACTGTTGTATACAACACTAACTCATTCAATTTGAGAAAGTATAATATAGTTTATTGTAATTTTCCCCTTTACTATTATAAGAAAAACATAGAAAATGTGTGTACATATTATGTTTGTTGTTGCACTGGTTAAGATTGGTTTTCTATTAACAAATCATCAATTACATTACTTCTCGAGAGTAAAAATGATATTGTTCTGAAAATAAATTTAAAATGTATTACAACTTACCTAGAACTTATAAACTATAACATACAAAATGTATTATTTTAATAATGTACGCATTTACAGTTTATTTTATCTTTAGAAGCTAAAGTTTAAACATTAGCCTAGAGTCAAATATCCTAATGTGTGGCTGCTTGATCAAAGCTAACAAAGCTGCTGTTTTCTACTTTTATCATATAAACCTATTGTGCTAAATTGTATATACTGTAAATTATGTCAAATAATAAAAAAAATAGAAGCTAAAGTAAAGTGGTCAGTATGATTTGGATACCACTATCAAAAAAAAGCTACTTGGCACATGACAAACAATGCTAATTCATTGTGCCCCTGACTATAACTTCGTAACTAAATAGGAGTAAGTAAATGAGACGAACATCAATTTGCTCATATCGAAATTAGATGGGAACAAGTAACTGCACATATCAACTCCCTAAATTGTACTTAAATATAGATGAAAATATATCAAATCAGAAAGTACTTACAATATATTTCAAATACTTTTGAGAAAGAATCAAATGTTTATTTATTCATTTTTGATGCATGATACAATTTTATAATATTTTGACTCTTTTTGAGTTATTTATAAGTATTTAAAGTTAAAATTTTTAAGAAATTCATCATAATTTCTATAATTTGCAAATAACTTTTTGTAAAAAAAGCGTTGTATTGCATTTTTGCAATAACTTATTACATTCATTTTAACAAAAAGCGGATAAATGGTTGTCGCTCTGTTGTACATTAGGTGTCTAGGAGGTTGCTGTAATGGATATTATTTAATATAGGTAATATAACCAGCTGTTATTAACGTATTAGTCAATACTGACGTATTATAGAACGGTATAAATAGGACAATAGTATAAAAGCTTTGCATTTATCAAAATATTTTGAAAGTTAAGTTTTTTAAATAAATAACTAGCTGAATTACCCTTGCTACCATTTTTACAATTGCTTTACAATCTATTTTTAAAGTTAAGTTAATTATGTTATACATTATTTTCTTTAGAAATATGACAATAATTATTTACAATTAACGATTTTACGTGTTAGAAATATTTCATTAAACATTTAAACATATAAAACCATTTATTCCCTCGGATTCCAATGTTGTTGTATTTTAAAATAAGTATACAATATAAATTTTAAAAAAGTGGTAAGTATATTTTGTCGCTGTGCTGTACATTAGGTGTTTAGAAGGTCGCTGTAATATGGATGGTATTAAATTTGAATTTAATGATATCATATAATTGTATCCGAAAAACGATTCTGAAGGGGACAGTATATCAGTCTAGGATATTAAGTTTTGAAATTACTTATTATTAATATGGTAGTGGATAGCCGGTAAATTTGAATCATTATTATTCTTAAATTATCAGTGATGCTGGAAAATTATCAATTATACCTATATAAAATTGGGCTGTTTTGTTTTGGTGTGACCATCAGATACCAGTGTTTATTAAATGTGCTTAGAATATTATTTGTTTCTTTTATTGTGAACGTCGAAGTGATCGCCGTTTACGAAGCATCTTTTAAGTGTTTCGTTATGTCGTATTCATTTATCATAAATATTATAATCATTGTTCGGTACATACTATATTATAAACAATAAATTATGTTGATGGGTATTTTTTGTTATGACGTATACTGTATAGTCTACGTTAGTTGTCTATCGTTGAATGATTTTTCGAATTTTGATAAAACAGAAAAAATAGCATACTATCTACTAAATATAAAGATTTCAGACATTTTTTGTCAACATTAGAAACATATTATCCGTAGAAACTGAAGACATTCTACTAATGTTAGTATCGCTTAATCACTCAATAACATTATGGCTTACTGCCCAATAACACTGAACACAAATTTTCTTATGTTACCAGTAGAAAAACGAAAATTTAAATTAATATGTTTGATTTTCAATTTAAAAATGATCGGTGACAAGAAATTGAGAATCAATTAGGTGTAACGCAACAATAAAAAAAAAAACAATTAATGCAGGTATTAAAAAATGAATTCTCTATGTAAGAATATTAATTTATATATTATATTCTCTATATTAATTTCTCTATATTGTGCAGCGGAGCCGGTTGTAGGTACTATGCCATGTGCATCACGCAAAGCTGTACCGCCTGTACCCCAAAACTTGTTCGGTATCGACTTAAGGTCGACTAAAAGTTCGTCACGTAAAATTTATAAAGTCGAGTCACGATAACTCGAACCTCGATAACTCGAAAAACTTGGCAACTCGAAATTTTTTTTAATCCCCCATAAATTCTCTTAACGCACTCAATGTATTATAAATGTCGATAACTCGAATATAATATTGTGATAAATAGCCGAAGTATATTAGGTACCTTTATCGGTTATTCATGGGTATTTCCGTAAACATATTATATTTTATCTTCTTTAGTATCGTATAATAAAGATTAAATGAGTATAGATAGAAATTGATTATTAGGGCATGCACAATAACAGTCAGTACCTATGTATTAGTAAGTGTCTACCTGTCGTGTCTATCGTGCGTATTTTTGTAGGTTTTTAAAAATGTCTCAAAAACGAAAATTAAATCATTTTACTATAGCTGACAAAGTTCATGTGATACAATTGATGGAGAAAGATAACAGGAAACAACAAGACGTCGCGAAAGAATTTAATATTCCAACAAATACGGTGTCAACATTTTTAAAAAATAAGGCGGATATTTAAAAAAAAGATGAAGATAATAAAGGTGACAATAATAGGTCAAAAGCAGCCGAATATCCAAATGTAGAGGTATGTTTATTCAAATAGTTTACGCAATGTAGAGGCAAAATAAAAAATATGTATCTGTAAGTGTGGTCATATACTAAAAGAAAAAGCAAAATATTTCGATTTTGTCAATAAACAGCCGAAAACCCAAAAATGAATTACAAATTATTTTTCTACTGTATCTAATAAATAATGCATATGTACCTACATCCTTAGAATACCATTGAATCTATTTTAATTTCTGTATAACATTTATGTACATAATATATTGATCATAATTTTCTTATAATTTTTATAGATTTATACCTACATGTTTTATTATATTTCATTACATAATTCGAAGTTTTGATTTAATTTTGATAAATTAGACTTAGGTATCTCGGATAATACACATCTCGAAGTGTATTTTTATAACTCGTCAACTTCGAGTTATTGTGACTCGACTGTAATTTGTATAAACATTATTATTTCATTAGGTAGCACACATTATTTTGTAGTTGACTCGTTAAAAAATAACGTTGTTGAAGATCATTAACAAAGAAATTCAAAAGAATCCTGACCAATCTAAATTATTTACAGATACTGATAACTAATGTGCCTATAATATACTATTCTATATATATATATTATATATATATATCATTATTATACCGGTATCGTCAATCTTCATGTCCAACGTTAAAGTTGGAAGATTACAACTATATTAAGAATGAAAATGTTCTATTCAATACTGACACAATAAATACCTAATGTTTTATTTTAATCTACTATTTCAAATTTGAAATTACTTTGTTCAAGTGACAAAATATTTATTATTTTAAGTATCATTTTTGTTCGCTGAATTATTGTTGTGCATTAAATTGTGGCAGATCTAGCTGTTTTATGATATTTTAATATTTATAAGCTATGTACTTGTAATTTTTAAAAATTTGATCCACAAGCAGTATCATATTATTATGGTACAAAATAAACAAAGCTGCAGGGTACTAACTAGTTAGAAAGTCAAAGTTAAGTTAGAAAGATACTTAAAAAGTAACTTACCAAGTTAGCGAATACGATCTATATAATTAATATGTAGGATGGTATATTTTATGATATTGTGATTAAAGTAAATTATTTTACAATTAGCAATTAGTAAGTATTACAGTAAGTTTTAACAGTAATTCATTAGAGTCGAGAAAATCACATTGTATGTAAAATATAATAATATATTTTAAAAGTTTCAAGTACCCACAAATAATATTTTTAAATTACAACGAAAAATCAAGAATCGTTATCCTTGGTTTTAATATAAAGTTTCGTCCAAATTTTGAACTTAAATAACTATAAAATAAAACTATATACCTAGAGACATTTTGTCAAAATCTGAACTTTAATTGCTTATAAAAAAAATCTTGCCTATGTATTTTAAATATTTTTCAACTGATATTGTAATAATGTGCGATGAGCCTTGTATTAATTTTTCAAGGTTTTGCGACCAACAAATAAAATTTTATTGATATTTAAATTAAAAAAGCTAAAAAAATTTTAAATTTTAAATGCCTGTTTACAGCTGAATACAAGTTAACATTTTTGTATATTTAATAAAGTATAGAAAATGATGAAATAAACATAAAGTGCAAATTCCAAGTATCCACGTTTTTGAATTATAACTATATAAAAAAATCGAGCCATGAGAAATCAAGTGAATATCAAATGTAAAAATTTAAACTTCAAACGCTCATAATATAAATTTAATTTGAATTTTTTTTTATTAAAGTAGCCAAATTTATAAGAAATCTTTTATTACATTTTCAAATCTTAGATATAAAATGAAATTTTTTCGAATTTCTTAATCAAAATTATTCGCAAATTATAAAAATTATGATGAATTTCTTAAAAATTTTAACTTTAAATACTTATAAATAACTCAAAAAGAGTAGCCGTACAACTGTACAAGTCGAAAAAAGCGAGACGACAACAGGCACCTCGATGCTGAAAAACTGCACGGAATGGCGAATGGATTTTAACGGCGGCGGTTAACCGCACCGGTTCGCACATACGAAACGTGATGCGACTATCGAGGTTTATATAGTTTTCTTTACTATATTCACTTTAAAAAAGTACCTTGGAATTTGACCATTGAATATTGTGACGTTGTCCTTTTTTCTTCTCCACTGAGTCTCAACTATCTGTATGACTGCTGTGCTTAACAAGTTACTGACCAATATTCCTTATTCTTAATGTGAATATAGTTTAGTACCTAAATGTTATTATAATTATTGTTCTTACTATAATACCTTAAATACTAAATAGAAATTTACATACGTGTTTAAAGATTTATGAAAATATTTTTATATGATTAATATATTTTTGTATATACTTAATTGTAAAAATTGTAATAAATATTGTTCTTCTACAATAAATGATATAATATTGGATTTCATAATTAATACACTCTAAATTGAATGAGTAAAGTTAAATTGTTTATTGCTTATATAGGTATTAAATAAATGAACTATTTATTTGATGCAAAACCATATACATATACTATAATGCATAATGCATAGTGTACCTATGTAATACAAATATTTTAGTTTTTTTACAACAACAGAAATTGCTATATATTTGCATTCAATAGCATGATATTTATATCTATTTTGTTAACTATATATTCAATAATAATGGCCATATCCTACGGACTTCATCGGTTAAACCATGTTTATTGAAATATTCGCTAATGAATACAAACGGCTTAAATCCTCAAATTTTCCCATCTGAAAGCATCTGAGTAGGTGTTCCCAGGGCTGGCTCTTAACTTTTTAACACCCGGGGAAAATAAAAAATATACGCCCTTTTCAGGAATTTTCAGGGAAATGACCAGAATTAGTATTTTTTTTTTTATGAAATATCAAGCACACTCACATAGTAGTGTGAGCACCAACCATTTATAAAGCCGTTTACAATATACTGGACCAATAAATTATTTATCACAAATTATTTGGACAATTTTAGCTTAAAAACCAAAAAAAATTAATTTTTATATAATCAAGTAATATTTTTAGAAGAACTTCTTAATGATGTATTTAAAGCTAAAATCTATGGTTAAAATTTCTAAGTTTCAGGTTTAGAAAAAATATTATTGGTAATAATAACATTTATAAATTATTTATTAACAAATCTAAATTATTTATTGCTTACTTTTAAGTTTTAACATAAAAAAGCTTTATGTAAATGAACAATATTTATACATTTTCAATTTTTGATATTGTTACACTCAAAACTTCATAATTATTAGGTACATAATATTATGTATCTACTTAGATACGGAAAAACTACAATAAAAGAAAAATATAACTAAGTACTGAAAATTGAAATAGTATAATGATTACCTATAACTAGGGCTGTGAATTCACAGGAAGTGCATTTTTTTTTGGTGATTGTAAAATATAGCTTTGTAAATACATAATTTGCATTTTTTGACGTTTTTAATTTTTTAGTTCATTTTTTTCGCATTTTTAGGTCATATTTTGCTTTTTTAGTTCATTTTCTAGTATTTTTAATCAAATTTCGTCATTTGACTTGTTTGAAAACATTTTATTTTTATTTTACACGGGCTGTATATATTATGTCATATTTATATTTTATTAAATAATATTTTACACAAGTCACACGCTATATACGGGTCAGGTAAAGGTAACGATTCAATAAAATAAGGCAATTGCTAGACAACTAGATAACTTATATAAGTTATTGTGGAATATCGTCAAATCAAATTCAATCAACATTTTTATTATTTTTTTTTTTTAAATACTTTTTTGTACTAATGTTTAATATCCTGTATCCAATATTAATATAAATATAAAAATTAAAAACCATTTTTAATAAATTTTATGCTATAGTTTTTGGCATTTTATATTCCTTTTTTTTTAGCATTTTAAGTACATATTTTGCATTTGAAGTGCATATTTTATTGCATATTGATATTTTTGACATTTTTAATGTAGTTTTTAAGATTTTTTAGTGCATTAAATTCACAGCCCTACCTATAACTTATATATTAATTAATGTATAATATAATAAAATATATAATTCTACATTTTCCAAATTTCCAAAATGTTAAACTTAATATTTAAAACTTTATTTTTCTGGCTTTGATTGCAGAAAAATTATCAATAACTGAATCAAAATCAACTGTCTTAGTGATTTATTTTTCGATTGACGGAATTGACAAGTTAGTAAGTCTGTTTTGGTTCATCGTGGATCGATCTGACTTACGCTTAACATCGATAGGATAGTATTTTTGTTTTAATAATGTTGTACTTTTGTACTATCAAGTTTATCAAGAAAATAAATAGTACCTATTTAAATAGTAAATACAAATAACAATGTATTTTTGTATCTGTAAGAGTGCTTAATTTTGTTCTTTTTCATTTATCTAGTGGCTATAATAATATTTATAAAAAAGTTCAGTTTGTAAAAAGGCATTGTTAAATATAAAGACTTTTATAAACCTACAAATATTTAATTTAATAAATAATCTATAACAATTAAATCAGTAGTAAGTAACATTTTATGTTCTATTTAAAAAAATAAATAACTGTTAATTAAAAATTACATAACAATGAATTACAATTAATGAAGCCATTTAGTATTAAATTTTAAATAACTATCTACATAATTCATAAAAAAGATAAACCTATATAATTTATTAATATGTATTTATATTTATTATATATATTTATATGCAAGAAAATAATGTAATTTACCATACTTCATTATATCACTAATTGCAATTTACACATCGCAAAATAAAATAAAAATTCCAAAAAAAGGTTGCCCTGCGGTCTGCGACTTAATAAAGTTCCACAACAAATACTAGATATTCACAAATGTTCTTAACAAAAAAACTCATGACTACATGTCTACATACAGATTACTAAAACTAATAATATTGTTAATTTTGGTTGTACTAACCTAACTAAGCACTGAGCCACTGACGTCTTTTAACTGTCAAAATTAAAATGGAATTCAGCAAAACTGTATAAAACAAACTGATTTTATAAACTAATACAGGCTATATTATTAATAATAACACATTAACACGAACACACGAATCGATGAATCACATACAATGATAATAAAATCAAATTCAACAATATTTTAATTTCTCACTTATTTCAACAATTAATATTTTATTTTAGATCTGCAGCGACAGTCAATCCCGGCGACAGTCGCGGACGGGTAATTCAAGGGGTATTTCCACTGCAATACGTACCTATTTATCCAATTAAAAATAATTTTGTTATTTCTTGTTAAAATTTAAAATTAAAATAATATTATTTTATTCACATGCCCATTATTACACATTTCTATTAAAATATTATTTTGTGGCTATGACTTTTGTTTCAAAGCATTTTAAAAATTAAATATTTAAAATTTAAAACCTTTAAAATACGCCCACGAAAATTATACGCCCGGGGATAAATCCTCGTATTCCCCCCCCCCTATATCCGGCCCTGGGTGTTCCATAGGTTTATGCGTTGGGCAATACCCGCTGGGTAGGTGAGATCGAAGCCGGGTGGCAGATAATTTGTCGTCGTCTCTACCACGACAGACGTATGCTGTAGTATGGCCAACCAGATTTTTTGCATATTTTTTCGACTTTTTTACATAATTTGTCAAAGTTCCAATGATTATTTCATTTCTATCTATATTATTACTGTAAACAAAATCTTCGCGGTGCTTTAATTATGAAATAATTACAAAAATAGTGGGCGTAATTTATACTACCGTCTATTCGTATGATTAGAATATCTTAGGATTATCATGCCAAATACAATTATCTAATTGCGATTTTTATTTTCTATACATAATGTGTCTATAATGTAGGTATATACAACTAAGCTAAATTGAATGTTAAACGATTTTCGCTAGAGGTGACGTACTTGCTAGACATTCCAACACAGATTTTGAATTTATATTTTTTTACATACGAAAAAGCAAAGGACATGCGACGGGGAACTGTGTTATTCAATTGCCGATTTTCGTGGGTGAAGTGAGATTTCTGGACACTGAAACTGGAATTTCAAGCATTCTCGCACTCGAAATGAGACCTCTAAGACTTATCAAAAATCGTTATCACCTCCTAAACTTTTTTAACCACTCATTAAGTCAACAGGAGTGACTTCTATAAGTTATTTCAACGACATTGTCGTCTGCATCGCCAAGTCTCACAAGCCCCCGAGTTTCACTGGCAGCTAGTTTTTTATAAATTATTGTAATACATTAGTATACGATATGATAACAATGTTGTTTTTGATAGCAAAAAATGACAACGAAGGTGGTGGTCTAATCGACTGGAATATTCAGAGATAGCTACAGCTAGAGTGACAGCGACGACAGTCAAATGTCTTATGATTCCAATGAAACGTCGGGTTCATTATAGAATGTGAATGGGCCGAAGAGGTGGCGGATCGAGGTAATGACAATGCTCGCAGAGCATAAAAATTAGAAAATATTGTGTCTGAACCGCATTTCATTGTACATTTTTTTTTCGCATTTTTATCGTTGGCTCAGATTTTGACTGTTATAGGTTGATAATTGTAGTGCGGAACAACCAAATAGTAACACAGGAAGAATGACGGTCCGTCATACGGTCCAGAAATGTGGCAGGGAGGGCCCACCTATTCCATGGATTGAGGTAATTACAATACTTGGTTATTAAGCACGTAAAAGATCCGAAAATATTGTGTCCGAACTGCATTTCATATGACCTTTTTTCTTGCATCTTTTTCGTTTATATTGGCAGACTGGCAGACAGCACACTTTTCGTCTACTATACAGTTCGGATAAAATATTTGTAGGCTAAAATAGAAGTTAGTGTAATGCAATAGAATTTAGTAAGTTTATTTTGTATTTTTTTTGGCTGAACAGATTTTTTTAACACATACTGCCGTAATGCATATTATTCGAACAAAAAATGACAACAAAAGTCGATCTGAAATCGACAGCGTATAGACTCACCCACGAAACATATTTACAATCACCTTGAAATGTGTTTATTTTGAAAATAGGGGTCGGTATATGGTCGTTTTTTGAACTTTTTAGACAATCGCATAAAAGATTTCCCCCACCTCCACAGCTACCGATGACGGCGTGTTTGGGACGGCTTGGCAAGAGCGCTACCAGCCAGTACTGTTACAATTGCAGAATTGTATAAACGTTCACTACTTGTGTACTACTACACAGTTGAATACTCACGAAATGTCTGGAACATTCGAAGAAAGCCACAGCGAGAGCGACAGCAACGACGGTCAAGTCTTTTATGACTTAGATGCATCGTCGACGGGCCCATTACAATGCGATTTTTCGCTGGACCTAGTGCCAGCACTCCCCAGGTCGAGAAACATGGCCCGAAGAGGCGGCGGAAAGAGGTAATTACAAAGCTCGCAGAGCATAATAATTAGAAAATATTGTGTCTGAACCGCAGTTTAGTGGACATTTTTTTTCGCATTTTTCTTGTTGGCTCAGATTTTGACTGTTATAGGGTAGCTGCAGTTAGGATGGTTGTGGTGTGAGACAACCCAACACTGTGTGCACAACTATTGCGGCAGGAAATACGGCCAGTCATTCTATCTAGAAACGTGGCACGGAGGGGCCGGCCATTCCACTTATCGAGGTAATTATTACGTTACTTGGTTATTGAGCGCGTAAAAGATCCGAAAATATTGTGTCCAAACTGCATTTTATATATTACTTTTTTTTGCACTTTTTTCGTTTATTTTAGCAGACAGCATACTTTTAGTCTACTATACGGTTCGGATAAAATATTTGTAGGCTAAAATAGAAGTTAGTGTTATGCAACAGAATTTATTAAATATATTTTGTACTATTTTTGACTAAATTATTTGTGGCTGATCAGATTTTTTGAACAAATACTGCCGTTATGCATATTATTCGATTCTCTGGTAAAATATTATTGGTATAAATATTAGTTTTCGATTAAAATAGGCACTGCTGAAATATTTTCGATTTCAATACGGGCGCCGTAATTATTTTCGGATTTTTTATTATATTATTTTGATGATACCTATCGCCATGAGGTGTTTAGTAGTATATATGTTGTTGTATTTGTTTTACAACTCTATCACAATTGCAAGACTTTTGTTCTACAGAACCGACGATATGTTTTAGCTTTAATATTATACAACAAAACTATTCAATAATTGACCTATTTATATTATCACACTTAAAAGCCAGTTTCGTAAGATTTAATGAAATTATCTGCAGATTATTTTTTTTACGAAATTTAATTTTTAAATATTTGAGTTTTAAGCATTTCGTCGGCTACATGGGAAAACCTGGTGAGTTACTTTTATCAAATTGTTGAGGAACAACAAAAAACTACAAAGTTTTGTTATTGATACTATAATAGTCACGAGTTTTTGTTTTTGTGTATTATCTTAAAAACATAGTGGAAAAAATAATGATATTATTACGATATCAAAGTGTGCAGAAAAATACAGTGCAACCCTTAAAAAAAAAATATTATTTTTAATTTTTACATACGAGGTTTTTATGTGTAGCCGACGATTTTTATAATATGGTAATATTTTGCATACGATGTACTCATATAGAAGCTTTTTATTTGATATAATATTGTAGCAATCAATACAAAATTGGTTTAGCTGTACAGTAGAATAATCTGTTAATATGCTTG